ATCAGAGGTGAAACCCGACTGCGACAGGCTGCTGATGACAAACACCGTCGCCGAAAGAACAGCCAGAGGCTACCAACGCAGGAAGACACCACTCACAATTGCAGACACTACAACAGGGACTGCCATTCCCGTGTGGGCCTGTTCAGACACAGCAAGCGCTGCTCTCGAGAAATCTCCTACAGCGCAGATCCATAGCCTCCCTAGACTGAAGGATGCCATACTGTCCCCGTCGTTTTATGCAAGAAAAATTCTGAAATTATACACACTGAGCCCAAAAATGTGAAATTAGGCGATTCTGTTAATTTTAACAAAGAATGATAAAGGAAAATAATCAGAATTTGTTCAAAAATGATCAAATTTTGCTAAATTATGCGGGGTACATAAAACCACGGGGACAGAACTTACAATGATTCCCTCTTATGTTGGAGATACAGTCATTACGAGGTCGCTCTACTTTCACCACCTCAGTAAAAGTAAAGTTGTTCCCGCATTCGATCCGGACATTGAGGATTTCCTTGTTAGTTTAGTTTTAGTAAGAGTTTTACGGCACTTGCAACACAATAAGGTCATATGAGTGCCCAAGATTACGGTGTTACAAGAGAGTAACAAACACAAAAAAGAAGGAGGGGAGATAAAGGCGATAGATGTTTGATAGAAAAGAAGAAGCAAACCACTCCAGAGCACTCGCCAACCACCCACACCTTGTTAGTGAGACAACTTCCTGGGCCTTCGACATAATATTGTGGTAGGGTGGCCAGTTCCTTTCCACGCCACTTCAGTAATATCCTGAATACAAAATCCTGGTAGGATCTAATCATACAATGAAGTGGTTAAAGAGATATTGGAATTTTCATTGGGGAAATTGGGTAGGGAGGGGAGGGGCGTTTTGTTACTGTTTATATGGTTGTTGTTGTCGTCGTCTTTATCGATGTTGTTATGCTAGTGTGCTTGCTAGTTCGATGTGGGTTTCTTATTGGGAAGGTGGATGAAGAGATTGACTTACAAAGAGCTAAATGACTGATCTAATCCTTTTATGACGAGAGATTAAAAAGATGGAACAATTGGGTCGAATAAGTGCTGAAGATTTGAGGTGTTATAAGAGAGTAGCAAAAAAGAAAAAGAAGGAGGAAAGATAAGGATTATAGACGCTTGATGAGAAAGACAAGGCAAACCACACCACAGCACCCGCCAACCTCTGTCTCTCTCTCTCTCTCTCTCTCTCTCTCTCTCTCTCTCTCTCTAACTTTGCGTCCCTCTCAGAATTATGTACCCCGCATAAATATCTTTCTCTCTGTGTCTTTGTCTCTCTCTCTGTCTCTCTCTTTTTTTCTCTCTCTCTGTCTCTCTGCCACTCTCTTTCTCTCTCTCTCTCTCTCTCTCTCTCTCTCTCTCTCTGTCTCTGTGTCTTTGCCTGTCTTTCTCTTTGTATATCTCTCTGTCTCTCTCTCTCTGTCTCTCTGTCTCTCCCTTCCTCTCTCCCTCTCTCTCTCTCTCTCTCTGTCTCTCTCTCTCTCTCCCTCTCTCTTGTTGTTTTTTTATTATCTCCAGTTCAAAAAAGCCACGGTGCTGGACCCTCATGTAATAAATATTTACCTTGGGTCTGTGCCAACAGGACCTCCCTTTACGTAAATTAAGGCTTCGACTTTTGTTTTACTTCCTCTTTACAATTGTCAGATCTATGCTCGTATCGGTTTAACCCTATCCGTACGTCGTGTTTTACTATCGTATCCATACGACGTGGGGAACTCTGTGCCACCACTTAACCCTATCCGTACGTCGTGTTTTACTATCGTATCCATACGACGTGGGGAACTCTGTGCCACCACTTAACCCTATCCGTACGTCGTGTTTTACTATCGTATCCATACGACGTGGGGAACTCTGTGCCACCACTTAACCCTATCCGTACGTCGTGTTTTACTATCGTATCCATACGACGTGGGGAACTCTGTGCCACCACTTAACCCTATCCGTACGTCGTGTTTTACTATCGTATCCATACGACGTGGGGAACTATGTGCCACCACTTTACCCTATCCGTACGTCGTGTTTTATTATCGTATCCATACGACATGGGGAACTCTGTGCCACCACTTAACCCTATCCGTAAGTCGTGTTTTACTATCGTATCCATACGACGTATGGAATTCTGTGCCACCACTTAACCCTATCCGTACGTCGTATTTTACTATCGTATCCATACGACGTGGGAAATTCTGTACCACCACTTCCAAAGATGAAATCTACTCGATAATCCGATCCGTACGCTTTGCATAGCAGTCTGTCAAAATGATTTTTTGAGAAATACTAAACGTTTCAGTGCTAGAAGTATTCTAAAATGTGAAGAATACAACCCGGGGGGTACAAAATGACCCCAGGGCGTATGGGATAGGGTTAAGGCTTCGACTATTGTTTTACTGCCTCTCTTCAATTGTTCGATCTGTGCTCATATCAGTTTGATTTACCCCCCGGCTTGAGAGCAATGTTTTATTGTTAGATATAGTTCTGTTTTGTTTTGTTTTTTTGTTGTTGTTTTTTTTGGGGGGGTGGGTTTTTCTGTTTTTCTTCCCCTACAAATAACTTTAAATCAATATCTTGAATTTTTTTTCAGTAATATTGTTTGTCGTTTATTTTTTCGCAACCAGTGTCTTAAGTATGTTAGTGTTTTAGCGCCAATAAATGGCTGCTTGCTCTGTATGCTTCCCAAGAAGTTGAGGTTGTTTCAGAATGCTCTCAGGTCTGCTGGGGTAATAGTAGGCCTATAGATTGTGAAGCGCATAGAGTTTGCTGTTAAAACATGTTGAGCCGGGATCTGCGGTATACAAATGCTTTGTTATTATTACTATTATTATTATTGTAATTATTATTATTATTATTATTATTATTATTATTATTATTATTATTATTATTATTATCATTATTAAGATTAGCGGTTAGATGCTTGTCTGTCGCATGCAGAGTAGAAGCACGTCTCCTAAATGATCTAAATTGTGTTGATGGGGGCATAAAACCCCAATACATTCTTAACGAAAACGATAACTCGTGTCTCTCCTCCTGGTTTATCTGTGTATGCTACTCTCTAATATCACAACCATCTGTGTTACGACGTGGTGGAATCAGGTGCTCGTCAATTTTTGAGCATGTGGAGTTATTAGTAACGCCTGAAAGCTGATTTATTTGCCTTGCCTTTGGGGAAATAAATATCCATCTAACATGAACAGAACTCGAGATATTTGTGGTTGAAGGAACTGAGGTCGCCTGGTTTCAGTGGCAACAGTAGCGAGAAAATGGCCGCCAAAGTTTGGTAACTTCATTGCTAAAGAGTCTTTGAAAACAGAAAAATGACAAATTATGTTGTTCCTCTAGTCAATGGTTTACAGTAATTTCAGTAAATTCTCCTGGAAATGTGATTTTATAAAGACATAAAAGAGGCTGAGCCAAAAAATAAAATCGATAAAACTCCCAAACCGACCGAAAAATGCCAGTTTCTCGATTTTCATTCTTTTGACGAGCGCTTGATTTCACCACACTGTCTCACATTTAGCCCTCGGCGCTTATTTGATCTATATGTGTTGCAAGTGCCATAAAACTCTTACGAAAACTGATATAAGGGACTATTGCTCACAGTCTTACCTTTTGCGCAAAGGAAATCTGCACCACGTTGCAAACGTCCAACATAGATTAAATTCACGAAAGAATAAAATAAAAAGGTTTTTACTTTGTCTTGGTTTCCCAAATCGAGGATGCTGATACCTGAAAAGAAATTTAGGGTAAAGTCCTCTTTAATTTTTTTTTTACAAGACCGGACCACAGTGTGTCTCTTTTTCTTCTATGTGAATATTAATAACTAGCTGGGCCCTCTTTCGTGAAAGGAATGATCGGTGCATTAACATAAATTGAAAGTCATTGGCCTACAATATTTACACTCTAGTACTGGAATGGGGCGATAAATCTTGAGAGATGCAAAAAATAAGAAGGTCAAGATTATACTCTTCAAACAACAGTGCGCACGGCTAGTGAACGGAAACCTCACTTGTTGTTTACAAAGGCATCTTAGAAGACGGACTTTTCCCGAGATTAGATCAAAACAAAACTAATGAAAAACTGAAAATTAAACTACAGTGACTTCAGGCTCCTTAATGAAACTTTGCACCCTTCAAATGATTCTGAACCACAATTAATTTTTTTTTCAAATTCGAAAGTGACGAACTTTCACAAATATAATATGTACAGATAACAACAATAATATACAGTATTTATACTGCACATTTACATTTTCTAAAATAATGCTCAGTGCGCATTAAAACCAATGAGGTATCTCATTTTCAAATTACATTACATAAGATAAGATACATCTTTATTGTCCAGATCCTGGCACATTGGTTTGGTGTTTCACCACGTACACACATACACACACACACACGCAGGCTTAGTCACATGCATAATATAAATGAACAGTAACATAAACAATAATAATCTTAAGCTAGATACATACTCAATGTTATTCTGGTACATTCTCTAAGATCATATGAATACTTGTAACAAGCTGGTTAAAAATCGAAACATTTTGATGGATGATGGTAAAAAAATGACCTCTATCTTCCTTTGTTACAGATCAGAAGCTTAGGTCTTTTACTTCTAACTGATGTTTTTATTTGAGGGAGCAAGGGATTTTTAATATCTCAAAAGATGAAACAATTTTTTTAGTGCAAGCTGTTATGTACAATTCATCGAAGAAATAGAATGTAGAGGTTGAAATTGTAACATGCTTTGCGTATTAATCGATTTAATTTTTCTTTTTCTTGTTGTCTTGTGTTCCTAGCCCGTGCTGTTATACAGAAATTGATCATACTTTCTATAAAACAAAATATTTTTATATTATGATGTGTACACACTTATAGATCTGTATTATATAGATGGCATGTGGCGTCGGTGGCCTAGTGGTTAGTCTTCCGGACTCGTAATCGTGAGGTTGTGGGGTCGGGGGTTCGAGCCGTGGGCTCGACGTTGTGTCTTTGGGAAAGACACTGTACACGACTTTTCCCCACTTCACCCTGGTGGGAATGGGTACCCGGCCGCTGACAGAGAAAGATCTTGTCAGTATGTTAGTGTTTTAGCACCTATAAATGGCCGCTTTCACTGTATGCATCCCAGGAAGTTGAGTTTGTTTCAGAATGCTCTCGGGCCTGCTGGGGTAATAGTATAGATCGTGAAGCGCATAGAGCTTGCTGTTGAGCGGGGATTTGCGCAATACAAATGCTGTCTATTATGGGTTTTTTTTTAAAGAACTAAATGTGCACTGAGAAATATAACTCAAGCCAGCGTGTTCAGTTTCTGGTTCTATCAGCCGGATGACTTGCAGTTTGTGCGTCAGGTGACCTGACCAAAGCAACATAAAAGTTCTTTGAAAAGAGTGAGGGGAATGAACTTGTTTTGATTCCTACGCTACAATTGGCACGTATACCATGAAATGTATTTCTATTATTTTGCATGTCGGTGGGTCGCTCTGCATGGAATGCGCTTCTGGAAGTTGAGAGCAAACATGTGGGTTTTTACAGGCCAATTTTAATCGCAAAGCGGCCCCACATTGATCTAAACAACTAGCAAATGATCTGGCAAAAATTGAGAACGTTCACAAACTGTGACGATTTCTTTTAACTCTTTGAGTACGTCGTAGACACATCTGCTGTCAATTTTGTAAAAATGCAATGTATACAGTTTTACAGGAGAGCTAAACAAAACACCTGGATAAAATTGTTACTGAGGAAACAAACTTTTCCAAACGTCCCAAGTCAAATCTTTAATTAAGAGTACAATTTTGATTTTAAGTGCCAAGATATCTTATAGCAATGTTATCTCATGCGTACCTTTTGAAGTTTCAAATCTGGTAAACAGAATAGAAAAAAACCGTATGAATGCGGAAGTATTGTCACTTATTTTTTAAAGTACTCCATTACAGCGGGGGTCTTCAAGCGCGCAGAATATGCGTGCTCAAAGGGTTAATGGCGCGCTCATGCGGGGGATACATAATGACATCTCGCTCTATTTGCTTGGCTGTGTGCAAACGCATGTAGATGGCATGTAGATATATCGTCATCCATTGTGCTGTAATAGAAATGAATGTCTACTCATGTGTAAGCGTTCATGTAAAGAACGCATATTTTTGCGCGTCGAACACCGGTATATCTTGCAAACATGGAAGTGCAGGAGCCTTCGTGGCCTAGAGGTTAAGGTGCTCTCCTCTCATTCAAAGGTCTCAGGTTCGAATCGGGGTAGCGACAGAAAACGTTTCTTTTCTAAAGTTGTCTCCTTTCACCTCATTTCCTGCTCTCTAGCTATGTTCTGTCGTCTGCTTTCGTCTCCGCTTTCTGACCCCTCCCCCTCACCCCCTTTGCCCCCTCCTCTGGGCTCAGGTCTCTTTCTACAGCCTTTCTACTGCTACTCCTTGGCTCCTTCTTACTGCTGTCTTTCAGCCGCACCCCTGATTTTCTGGTAGGAAAGATCTACACCTTGCCTTCTCGGACGAGGGCGAAAAATCTCGGAGGTCCAGTGTGCAAGTTGCGTACGTTAAAGATCCTTTGGTGGTCTAAAATCGATAAGAGTAGGCTTCGGCCGCACTATTTCCTACCAACTGAAAATGTTTAATGTGACCTTATGCAGTTGCGAGCGCCGTAAAACGTTTACCATAAAAAACAAAAAACAAAACAAAACAAAAAATATGGAAGTATTGTAAAGCGCCAAGAGCTGAATTGGACTGGAGTGAGCGATATAGAAATTAGTAGTAGTAGTAGTAGTAGTAGTAGTAGTAGTAGTAGTAGTAGTAGTAGTA